GTGAGATTAGATCTAGACATAGTTGGTATCTATAAATACCCCATGTACCCCATCATATCTTATAAGTTGAATTGAGTATTGAATTGGTGAGCCAATCTTGAGGGGGAACTTATGTTCTTAACGTGTGATAAAGAAGGCCATTAGAGCGTCTTTACATGCAGTGTCGGAGAGAAGGCCAATAGTGCGTCTTGAAGTCACGGTATCTAGGAGAAGGCCGTAGTGCGTCTGTTAGATACACCTATCGGGGATAAACGAAGGCCTCAGTGCGTCGTTTATTCGCAACCCAGTATAGACAAAAGATCGATCCGTCATCTTTACCGCCGACGGCGTTGTGTCGTTCCTCGACCGAACTATATTATCTCTCGGCAATTCCATTATAATTTAACTTAAACATGATTTACTGAACATAATAACACATAATGGTCGAAGGTTTTGAACATAACATGCAAGAGTACTCGGGTGGCCCGTGGTGCGCACTAAGTGTGCGCCCACACTCCTCTCGGCCAAACCCCATTAACATGATTAAATTCACCCGAATACTTAAGTTCAATTAAACATGATTTCGCAAATAAAAGCTAAGTATGCGAGGATTATTCGGAGAATTCCATGAAAATCATAACATGATTCGGTGAATTAATTTATAACATAACATGAACGGCACGGCATGGCTACGGCTATACACATAACACGCATGCATGAGCAAATAAATTCTAATCTTAATTAAACATGATATACTCGGGCAAAAGCCGACGGGAACTTACCTCTTATTAAACTCAAGAGGTTAAAAGACTCGGAACCGCTCTCGGCCGTGCCTCCGCGTGCGTGGCGTTGGTTTGCGTGTGCGGACCGCTTCTCGCGTACGGGTGCTGCTCGCGTACGGTGCTTGCTAAGCGATGCGCGCGACGGCTGGACGTGCGCTAGCTCTCGGCTGCTTGCGGGGAAATTCTTGGTAATGCTCGCGCACAACACACGCAAAAATACACAACTCACACTATGCTCTCTATATTACTAACTCTCGGCACTTGACAACTTAGAGGAGGAAATGGAACAAAAATTTCCCAAGGCTCCACTTAATAAAACCGAGAGCATAGGGAGTGAGGGGGAATAGATTCGGTCAAGGCGTGCACACTTTGCCATCATGCACTAAATAATTGCCTCATCCTCACGTGAAAGCCAAGACAAAAACAACAAGAAAGATGCTCGGTCAAAGCCACTACATGTGCACGGCAATGGGACAAAAGCTCCTCTCTCACGCACAAAATACAAAATGGCGCACGGACAATGATGCACGGCCTTGGACACTCCGCATAATGGCAACAAAATGGGCCCGGATTCTTGAGCAAAAGGACAAGGAGGGAGCATGTTGACCGTATCACTAATGCACGGCTACACAAGACGCTTTGGACAATCCGCCCATGCAACGCACACAACCCCACGGCACTAGCGGACAAGCACGGATCACTTGGACAATTTGCACGGATACATAGCAATATGTTGGGAGGAATCTTGCGCAAAAGTACAAAAGCTTGCACGGTCTCCATGACTTGATGTTGGCACGGATTCTCTCGGACGAACACGCGCGCGCACGGTCTTCTTGGGCATGGATCCTCGTCCAAACGCACGAACACACACACACACGGCACTTAGCTTTAGGTTGGATTAACTAAAGATAATCCGAACAATTAAGCTACTAATCTCATGATTAATATAAATTAATCACTTAATTATGTTTAATTATCCAATTAAACATAATGCTTAATTACCAAAATTATTTCGAACGTAAACGGTACGTCGAACATAGTTCTGGTAATTTCGACTGAAATAACTGAAAATAATTAATTCCGAAAAATAATATCGGAACTAAAAATATTATTATTACTGATAAAAGTTGGGATATTACATATATAGCGATGGAAACTGTAAAGGCTGTGCTGTTACGAAGCCCGTTATGCCTCTTGTTAAGTTGTTGGTAATGTTAAAACAAACACCTCTACATTGCATAACTGCAAGTGCCCAAACACGATTTCGTGTTAATCATTATATTAAATGTTTGCAGCAACGTTCGGTCTCGAAGTTTATAGGCGAAAGAAGGTTGGTGAAAAATTCCAAAGCGATCGCATTAGCCATTCCTAATGTTATTGACACACCATGGACCGAAGGTGTCGACGAGGTAGACGTTGGGGTGATGACGATGCGCCACATGGAGACATTTAAAGGTGATGCTGCAAAACCGTTGAACACGCAGCTGAAGAAGGCAGACAAGGGCCAGATGAAGCTTTTTAGGAAGCGTTATTGTTATTTCATTGCGTGTGCCGAGAACAACAAGTTGGCTGGCATTAACCTCACGACATCAAAGATATACCATCCGGTGTATCTCGCAACAAAGGCATCAAACTAATGATGGGTTGTGGTTGTGCATTTGGTCGTTGTAGTGTGGATCTGTGTAGATGCTTAAATCTATTTTGTGACATATTCGTAACAGGATGTGTGTAGATGCGTAAATTTGTTTTGTGACATCTTCGTAACATGACGTGCACCAATATTTTGCATTGGATTATGTGTAAGCTTTTCAGGTTGGTTCACTGGAACGTAACTATGTATGGCGACTGATATTTTTGGACATGTGATATCGTGAATGGTTATTTTCTGTTTTTCTCGTGTTGGCTTACGAGTAGGTCGGACGATAAAATAGTGCAATTGAACATTGTGAATCGTGCATAACAGCGCATTATCATGTGCACTGATCACTTATGTTTTGTGCACATCAACACAAAATATTGTGCACTGTTCATGTATGTTTTGTGCACATAGTTATTTATGCACTTTTTTTTTATTAATGCATTCATGTTATTAGTTTTCTAGCAATTTATATCATAGGCTCGTACAAATTTATTTGATACGTATTAGTGTAATGTGCACATTTTCAAGAATAACAGTGCAGCTATATATATATTGTCGTGCAATGTTTATGTGAATACACGAACAAATGTAGCGTTAAAATATTTATTTTATATAAATAACAATATCATACAGGCTCCGTAGGTTGAAGTTCGTTGATAATTCTTTATAAGCGTATTTATGTATACTATCTTTTTTTTTTTTGGTCTGGTTGCTTGAAATATGTGCATTATTATTGCCATAATGTGCATATTTCTTCTGTAAATTGTGCATATCTGACATACTATTGCTCATGTGATGTACAATAACAATGTACTTTTTTCTATGTTTCTTTTTTTTTTAATACATGCACTAGATAACTAACTAAACGCACGAGTAATTTATCGAGTAAAACAAAAACAATAACTTGAATCCAGGATAACGAAATGTTTTCAGTAGCAATAGGTAATGAAACAATATGACAGACGTAAAAAAAAATTGTGAATCTAGTTCAACAATAAAAATAGACGACGTAGTTGAAATCTTCCAATAGTATATTCAGTCACACCATCCTGATACGATTCCATGCGCAGTGTCAAGATTCGTGTATAGCTATTTGTTCCTGCATATTCAAATTTGTTCAAATCAGTATATATACTTGTAAATTTTAAGTAGTATTGAATTACGTGCATGCGCATACAAGGTGCACGACATACCAACTGTACCTAGAGGGCCTGATCATCACATTTTACCACTCTACTGCAATGCACAATTTTACATGGAATAAATGAGTTCAATATATAAATAAATATTTAATTTGTGCATGCATCTTCAGAAATCACATACTCATATGAACGTTGATCAAATGATGTTTACCTGCATTAGTCGTGAACGGTGCTGATACACATATCTCCTTTTTTAGGTCAAGTACGCGCATTGTGTCCGGCTCTCTCGCCACACGTCTTGCATATTCTTCTCTTTTTATGTGACGCCGCAATCGAATTCTCCTTGTTGCTCTTCATTCTTTTTCCACTACCTTTGTTTTTAGACTGTGCCGGAGGATGGACGTCTACTTCTTTTGGGGCAGACAACCCGACAAACGAGTCGAACATTTTTTCCTGGTCCTTTTTTGATGAACCACCCTCTTGATTGCTCAATAGTTTCTGTTTGTGCTCCTCAATGAGTTTAGAAAACTCAACAAGATTGTCCATATTCGACTCAGCTATCCCCATGCATACATGAATGTCTGACCAAAGCTTGTTCACCATGAACTTCACATCATCAATTTGTGCGCATTGTTCTGTAACGCTATCGAGAACCCAGAACATGGGATTGCGTATAGCAAGTTTCGTCCACCTTGATAAGATGTGAGCAGGCGGTATAACATCCATGCTCAAGTCTTTCAACACAACAAAGACATGCCTACACAGCCATCCGTACATTTTAAAATGTTTGCACGAGCATGCTGACGAGTTCAGGCTCACATTGTGCATAACTGTAAACATTTTCCCATCAATGTCCCTTATCACAAATGTCGTTGTGCCTTCATTTTCTGAAATCTGCATGACTCGGCATTTGAAGCATGCATCACATATTTCATCTTGCACACGATAGAATATTTCGGTGGTGTACACACTCAGGGCATATCTCTCAATTGATAACGGCGTTTTCAGGACAACTACATGAGTTTCACTGTCACTTTGCAATTTCATTGACACGTTTCTCTGTGCATCCATCGCACTATCATAGTGAAGCATAAACTCAACCAAACTAGCATGGATATTTGTAAAATTCCTAAACCAATTGTTCTCACTCTCCGACCTAGACGTAGTTCTCATTAGCCCGCTCATCATGATATCTCTAAAATATGCCGGTATCCAATACTCTCTCTTAGTAAACAAGTCAATGAACCAATTATGGGTGTCCAAATTAAACTCGTGAATAATCGCAACCCATTTAGAGTTAAACTCGTCAGGTTCAATGTTCCGACTCCAAACAATCTCATTAAGCCTCCGTTTGAAGTCGTCGTCATTATTTAGAGAATACCCAACTTTGTCACACAATTTATTCATGATATGCCACATGCAAAATCGGTGCTTACTACGTGTGAATACCTTAGAGAAAGCAATTCCGATCGAGGGATCTTGGTCGGTGACTAAGTATGTTGGTTCTTGAACCATTGCATTTTTGAAGTTTTCGAACACCCATACGTAAGAATTCACATCTTCCTTTGATATCAACGCGTATGCGAATGTTATGCATTTGCCGTGATTGTCTATGCCAGTGAATGGTGCGAACACCATATTGTACCTACACAGGAACAATGATAGCGTGCTGTATTATTATATTGTGCAATAATATATTCTATAAGGTGCTATAAATCTGTCCATGTTGTGCAATACTGGAAGGATAATTTAATTGAGGTGTTTTTCCTGTTTTACCTGTTTGTGTGATATGTTGCATCAAACGACACAACGTCTCCGAAAGACCCATAGTTCCTTCTTGATACCGGATCAGCCCAGAAAATTCTATGTAGACACTCCTTTTCATCGAGGTCGTAACGGAAAAAGAATGCCGAGCTAATCTCCTGTTGCTTATGGAACTTATCTATAACCAATTGTGCGTCAGCGTCTAAAATGTATCCCATGAGATCTCGCTTGAAGTTTCTGAACTCCATATTGGTGGCGCCAACATTAGAATACCCCCCCACAATTTCTTTGTACATCTTGTATGACTTGGTAGGCCCTATGTTGGCTTTTATACAATTTAGTACAAATCTTTTATGCGCAGCTGTCATGGTCCGATTTATTTTTAATCGCTGCTTGCACTCGTCAGGTATCATTAGATGATTATGCTTTTCTTCAAAAAACCAAATGACGTAGCTATTAGGTCCATCAACTCGTAGGACAATCCTTCCATTACATCCCACTCGGTTAGACACCCTGCGTCTCCTTGGATGCGTTGTTTGGACTGCGGTTGAGTGATGTTTGCATCCCTCTCGCGAACACACCAGGTATTTCCAAATCACTGTTTTATCCTTCGCTTTCACCAACGTACTTTGTCTAACATCAAAGCCTGCTGTAGAAGCATATGCACGATAGAACATGATAGCATCGTTAAGCCCCTGAAATTGTTGTCCTTTGCGAGGCACGATTGCATCGTTGTTGCACTGTGGTATCCAATACTTACTGCCACCCGGGGTGACAACCAGCCGGTGTTGTTGAGGTGGCGATTGGTGAAGTAAAACTGCATCGACTCATGTAAAAACAAAGAACAAAAATATAAATGAAAAATTTGTAACAAAACGGGCTATTATTATGTACATGCACAATTACGTGGGAACACATGCACCACTCAGTGTATAAACATGCACAATACTCCTTATTTACATGCGTTATATATGAAATGCACATATACACCAGTCTCTCAATCATGTGTAAATAACCCGATTCAAACTCTTAATCACTAATTAAAACTAGAATAAATCCAGACATATATCGTAAGTTCATATTACCT